TGCTCACTAGAATTAATCTCACTTTTGAAAAATTTTCCCACACAGCATCCTGCATATTCAAATGTGGCATTCAAACCTCACCAGATGCTAAATGCTGCTGGGCTCTTATGGGGCGGGGGGAGTTCTGTCATTGCTGAAACATCTAATTAAAATGAATCTGGTAAGAACTATATCAAATGTCCTAGTATGTTAAGGAATAGTCCCATCCACACGATCACTATTTTGTTTAGAAAGGTGATTGATTGCTCAAGCCAGAATTGCCACATGAAATTTCTCTCACCATAATAGGCCCCATCAGCACACATTGATACTACCCTCTACCCTGTGTGCTCCCTGTGCACCCCACTTCTGGATGAGTAGCACTCTTGCTGGTTTGCAAATTCTCAGTCTGGCTAGACAATCTACTTTCTGCTACTGTCAGTTTTTCCTTGCAAACCTTGTTGGGAGTTGACAGGTATGGATGGCTTCTTAGGATCTCAGAATGCTGTTTAACAGGACTGTCACCTTTCTGGAGAGGAATTTCCAATAGCCCTCCCGTCAGTCCACAGACTTGCCATGGGAATGACTCCTTTTTACCAGACCCTCCCATTTAGCCCTCTTTTAAGATACTGGGTGAGGTAAAATTTTGTCGTGCTAGCCTGTCTTTGCTGGATGACTAATACCATCCCTCCTTTTCAACTGCTTGATGCCAGGAGAAAGAACCTCCACTCCCAGAAGTAACTATCAAAAGTGTCTCCAGACTTTGCTTAAAGGTTCATTGAGGGATAAAATCAGCCACATGTGAGAATCACTGATTCATACTAAGGCTCCTAGGAAGTCCTTCAAGTCCTCTGAACTGGCTTGATTTGAATAGATGTTGAGGGGGTAGGGCACACAGCCTTCCTGATAAATGGAAGTTAAAGAGTCATGTGGGTATTGCTCCTGTAAAGTTAGGGACTTTGATTAGTAAGTCGGGAGCCTTGCCCTACAAAGAACATGCCTTGTACAGCACAAAATCCCTTGCAGCACACTTAACAGGATTTCAATCACAGTAACAAGCTCTAAAGGACAGCGCTCCTCACTGACATCAGCTGGTGACTAAGGGGTTCTTAGGTAGTTCACATCTGATTCAAGGCAACCATGAAGAAGAGATCATGGTTTCATCAGTGTCCCACATACAGAACTGCAGAAATAGGTAAGCTGGCTGGGTGAGGGTTTTGACTAAGCTCAAAGAAAACAATCAGCACACAGTTTTGGAAAAAGTCTTTTGTTTTCCAAGGAATTTAGACTTTGCATAAGGTTGGGTTAAGGGTGTGTGTGTGTGTGTTATTAGAATTTGTGAGTAGGGACTGTATTGAAAGAAAGCTGGTATTTCCGTAGGGAAGGGAGACATAAAAGGCACAGTTTTCAGATGCCCAGAGGCCTTCTATTTCAGTTGCACAGGGCAGGGAGGCAGAGGGAGCAGGATAAAGCAAATTAAGTAAGAGAGGCAAGACTGTGTCCTGGGTGGGAGGGGCAACACCCTCTCTTCCCGTCATTGCAGGGCCAATGTGTGATTACAAACAGCTCCCTAAAATTTATCCAAAAGTTTAATGCCTTGAAATAAATCAAGATCACTCTCTCCCCACTTGTGAAGGAAAAGGCAGTCTGAACATATTTGTCTAAATAAGTGTTTAAGAATAACATTTTGTGAAATTCAAATATACAGAAAAATTGCATAATCCTCTTTACCGCCCGATCCAGAGTCCCCCAGCCACCAATATTAACACCTCCCTCATCCCTTCAGGCCCCCAGCTACCAGTGTCAGCCTTCTCCTTGCCTAGATACAGGCTATGGTCATTTTGTCTTTTCCTGATCAATCAAGTTATCAGGTCATTTCTGGATGACTGAGGGTTTTGATTTAGTTTCTTTGAGATGTTTTGGAAGTGGCTTAGGGGCAAAATTACTTGAGTCTTCTCTTGTTTTAATATTTAGATGATCTGGGAATGAATGTAAGACTGATAAGTACTTCGTAATCATAGCCCACCCTCTGGATGGCATCTTAGTTCAGGATGTCACCCTAAAATGTGTGTGGAGGATTTTATGTCTGGCCACTGAGAATGAGAATTAATGGAGGGCCTCATTAGTCAATTTGCAGGGAATGCTTTTGCTGGTGTTTCAACTTGGTGGGGGGAGGGGACTCTTCAGCTTGAGGCTTGACTGTGAATGGACCCCTCCAGGTTTTCTTAACACCACAGAGGATGCGGCTTGCAGAGGCAGTGATAACCAAAGCAAAGGAGGAGAGATCAGCACCACTCTTTGAAATGGAGTCCTGCAAAGCTAATCTGCTCAATGTCACCTACTGGGTTCAGAGAATATGGAAAGGCTGGCTTCCTAAAGCTCTCCCTTCAAAGGGATAATGACCCCTTGGAATTCTAGATTCCACAAGGTGGCTACCTGGTGCTTTCAGTTTTCACCTTGTCCCTAAAGGTGTCAATCAGGGTTTGCCCTTCCAACCCACCGCACATGTCAATGTCTTTCTCCTTAAGAGAACTTGTTGCCACAATGAACTTGAACGCTGAGACACAGAAGAGGAGAGTTTGTTTCAACAGCTGCTTTGACAGTGAAAAGCTGGAGTTAGTCCTCCCAGGACAGCTGGCTCTGTCTGTCTGTCTTTACATTGCCCCCGCTTTTCTCTAATGCCCAGCTGAAACCACAAGAAGGACAAGAGAATGCTAATTACTGGGGGCATGCTATGTAGGGGCTTCTCATTGCTGACACCGGAGTTTTCTCCAAGTTTACTTCTATAAATTCGATTTTTGGCTAATTTATAACTAATTGTTAAATATATGCTGTTGCCTGGTTGTCCATCCAGTATGGTAGCCACCAGCTACAGGAAGCTGTTTAAAATTTAGGGTGACTATGGTTAATAGATTTACAAATGTCTTTAAAAATGAGGCTTTCTCTCCCTTATTTACATTATAAGTGTTTAGGATTTGTTTTGGGTGGTATCAGAATACAATGTTGGGCCTGGTCCCAGCTTGTAAATGCTTTACCATCAAGCTGTATATATCGCCAACTGCTTTTTAACCTTTTGAGAAAACCTTTGAGACAAGTTGTGGCTAAGCTGGTAGCTGAAATCTTGAACTTGGGATTCTCTTGCCTCAAACTCCCTCGTTGTTGGGATTATAAGCCTGCGCCACCAGGTCCAATGTATGTGTCTAATGTTAGCAACATGTTGCTAATGACTTCCATACTGGAAACCAGCAACACAGAATATTTTCCTCATTGTAGGATGCTGCCAGATTGTGAATCAATGGGAGGCAGATCTGGACAGGAATGATAGGCTCGATTTTCCTTACTACCAACTGTACACATTCATTTTAGCTGCCAGCTTTCCATTTTACTTCTGGAAAGGGAAGCTTTGGTTTGAAAACTGTTCACAACAACGATTCCACTGCAGGGGAACAGTAAAGAGCAGAGAAGACAGTGCCGAAGCCACAGGCTCCAGATCTGTTTATTGCCCTCTATTAAATAACGAAGGGGATATGAGTTCCAGTAAGGAGGGGGCAGAAAGCCAGGTCCTTCACTGATCCTGGGTCTCAGACCGATCAGCCACATGTGGGATCTAATGTGGGCAGTTTCTAGGACAGGACTTAAACAACAAGACATAACAGTAACAACTAGGTTTCTGTTTCCACAGTGTTGGGTGCCTAGTTAAAAATGATTGGACAACTTCACATCTAATAGGATTGCTAATTTTTATTTATTGAATGAATATCATCAGCAACAGTGAAACCGTGGGTTCTAGTAGCCACTTGTCCTTTTATTTTTAACTGGTGGAGCTGCCAGCCAAAGAAGTGTCAGGCCTTTGATTACATGAGTTTGGCTTTCTCCATTTTCTGCTAAGATTTCCCTTTGTCTTCTGTAGAGCACAGCTCTGATTCGCTCCTTGCTGTGTCTGTAGTATCTATAACCGGACCCAACCCACAGTAGGCGCCCTGAAAATATTGGCTGGGGAATGGATGGCTTTTATTTGGAAGGGAACAAGGAAGGTGACATCTTTATTCCTTTACATTCTTCCCCAAGACAAACCTTCTGGAAAAGCCTTTGCTAATGTCCAGGATCCCCTCCCAGCCAATTAATTATTCTTGGATGCAACCCCTACTTCCCCCTCCACATTCCAGGGTTTTCATCCTGCTCCTCAATGGCAGGACAACTCCTGAGCCAGGCAGAGGACATAGCTTCCCCAGAGAGCACATCCTCCCATCTCTGAACTTTTTAAATACATAAGAATAGAAATCTGCTAAGCCACCCAGAACAAGCTGTCAAAAGATGTGATGAGACAGCTGTCCAAAGAGGTGACATGGTCATGCAGTCACCATGAACATAAAAGCAATGTTTATAGTCTGTTGAGTTTTCCTTCAGTAAGTAGATACAGACAAGCATTCTGATGGCTCCGAGCATCAGGAAGGGGTGTTTGATAGATAGTCTAATCTATACTGAACTTAGTGAAAATGCGATTTCATCTGTCATGGTCTTTTGAAAAAAAATCTGAAACAGTAAGCAAGAGGATCAGAAGTTCAAGACCAACCTAGGCTCTAGCAAGATGTTGCTTCAAAACAAAACCAACAGGTAGTGAGGATCTTTTAAAAGACTGCAATATTCATTTAGTACAAAATATCACTTAAATTTTATATTTAATTGCATTTTTTTTCCAATTGAAATGTTACATGATTGCCCTACTCTGGCCAAAAAGGTATCTTTAACATGAAAGAAAGGGTTTTTTTTTGTTTGTTTGTTTGTTTGTTTTTTTGCCAATGCCTACCTTAAGACAGATTACATGACATTTCTGGAACTCCTGGTTATGGGAATTTGCTGACAGCACCAATAATTTAAGGTTTTCTGTTGTTGGACTTAAGTGCACAATGTGAAAATTAGCTTAGTCTTGTTCAGGGTGGATGGTATTTGAATTTTAGAAATCTCTTAACCAAAGTCTCATAATTCATTGAGCATAACCTGTTTTATGTCTCCCCAAATAGGATGAATGGAGTTGACACATGCCACAAGAGGTCTTGCCACTACAGCAGATTATAGCGACATGTGATGTGGTGTCACAGTGGTCCCCTCACGGACAGCAAAAAGACTGGCACCAACACAGACACGCTCAAGAAGGTTAGCTATGGCTATCATCATCTACGTGGCAATGCTATTGTTGACACATCTTTATAAACCTCTAACTCATCCCAGTATCCCCCTCCCCCCCACTGCTCCTTATTTCGGATCTTCTGTGTGGTCAGCACCACTATAAACTATGGGATGAAATGGAGGCTGGAACAAGGCCTTATCACCTGGATATAGACTTTTGCAAAGGGAAAGCTGTCTTGGAACTTCCACCTTCATTGCTATAATATTTATTTTTCTTTAATAATAATTCCTCTTTGAAGCATACTGAAGGTGAGCAAATGAAAGTGATAGACGGAAGGCGTCTGCAGTTGTCTGAGCAGAGACCCAGGTGGACTCCATGTGCACACACTGGTGCTTTGCCTTAGAATCTTCTCTTCTAGCCACCTTTTTCTGTCTTCCAGGTATGCTTTCCCATTATCTTCCAATTCAGTAAACAGAGCTCTCTGACTTCGTCATTGAAACTCAACAAATCAAGACAACATTATTAGAGAAGAAAAAGCTACCCAACACAATGTTAAGCCTCACAAATTTTTGTTTGTAGAACTCGTCATCATTTCTGATTCAGAATTCTTTTAAAGTAACCTTTCAAAACTCACACTTTAGCCTAGTCAATGACATGAAGTTTAATACATGGCTACTCAGAGTTAGGGAGAGGGTGATAGAGAGAGTTTACAAAATTAAAATATGTGTGTATATATATATATTTTTAATGAAAGGAAACATACATTCACTTCTAATTCACATAGCCTATTTGCCTTCATAGCTGGCTCACACACACTAGTTTTTAAACATTGCTTATGAAATTAAATAACATGGAAAAATAAATATGCTTTATTATATAAAGACATATAAATCTGTACCACTCAAAACATTCAGACATACGTAAATGTGGCTGACTAAAACTATTTTCAGAAAATACGGTTGTGATATTTATATTCTTTTTTTTCTGTGATATAATGAAGTTGTAAAACACTGATGTCAGACATTTTCTCTCTCTGCCTATAGAAGCTGCACAGTGTGATAGGAAAATGAGGTAGACACAAGTACTGAAGTTTGCCAGGCTGAACCAAAAGCATCGCTCCCTTGCAAGCGCATAACCTCTCATCATTCAGGTCCAGAAGCACAGATCTCAAAGGCTCAGAGAACCCTTTTCGAGTTGTCATGGAAACACCCAAACAAGCAATTTCTGTAGAGAAGAACCGCCATCTACAAGATGATCAGTGAACAGAAACACAGGGCAATGCAAAAAGAAATGCCACCAGACTGCCCTGGGAATGTGGCGGTGACAGTGACGTGACTTTCTTCCTCTAGATGGATTTGCTCAGTCTAGAATGTTCCTGATTTGCAAGACATTTCTTACTTCACCTTGACAATATAGGGTTCTATATTGTCCAATTTGTCCCCATTTTTTCATGGCATAGGTGTATTGATTACCCAATGTGCTTTTAGGATTGGCTCAATAGTTCAAGAGAGCTGAAGAACACTGTTTCACAAACAAAGGTCCAGGGACATTATTTTTTAAAGTCCAGAAAAGAAAATTTTCTGGTATGTTTTTCTCAAGCAAGATTTTTTTTTTCTTTTCTTGTTTTTTGAGACAGAGTCTTACATGTAGCTCTGGCTGGCCTGGAACTCATGGCCCCAAACTATAGGTGATCCTCCTGACTCAGTCTCCTGAGTGCTGGGTCACTGGTGTGAGTTACTGCAACCAGTGTTACAAAAATGAGTCATAGCTCTGCAGTGACTCGAACCAGAACCAATGGTCTCTCTGAAAGGGTTGTTTGAATATTAAATTCAAAGAAGTTCAATTGTGGAGACTTTGGAAGTTGTGGCAACAGTGATTTGGGGTTTCTTTCTCAAATACTCCTCCTTCATAGGCAGTGGTGACGTAAGCTGTCTCCACTTGACCTTGGCTGTATCACACAGCAGTTGTTGCTTTGTGATATGACAGCGTCTATGTGTGGGAGTCCCTGGGAGCCAAAGCAACCAGCTGGAGGAGTCATGGCCATCCTGGCCTCTAGTCAGTCTAAGCTGCTTTCTATCGGAAGCAAGATGTTAGCACCTCAAATGCACTTTTCTCTTTTGTACACTTGTTAACGTTACTGTAGGTCCAATGGTAAAGCACCATAAAAAAGAGTTCATGGCTAGAAACAGGAGTCATTGAGGTATGCTGAAATGTAGAAGTCCTAAGACATTATACCAAAGCATCCATGTAAATAAACATAAAATAATCAAAATCAAAATCCTAGAGTCTGAATGATTGCTCGCTCACATGCACATAAAATCAATATATTTAAATTGCCTATCTACTTAAACAAAATTCTTTTGATTTGGTTCTTTTAAAAAAAAATCACAGTTTAAAAGCCTTGCAAAAGTGACCTTTCTCTTAAGACAATAGAAGAATTGAAGTCTGAAAGTCAAACTAACATTCGCTTTCTGAGATCACACAGGCAGCAAAGCCAGCCTTGAAATCCATGTCTGCAGATGCCAGGGCACAGAACTTCTGCTCGCCTTCCTGCCTCTCTGATAGTTTAGAAAACTGTATGTAGCCCCAAGAAGAACAGCGATATTAAATATACCCTATGTTTTCAGTTAAAACAATCAGCAGCCTATATTTAAAGATTTAAGCTATTAAATTATCAATGGGGGAATATATTGAGAGAATGTTCCAGAAAAAGAAACTAGCATATATATGTATGTACATACACATACATATGCGTACATATATATACATATATATATGTGCACAGATACATCCCTAGCACTATATTTTATAACTCACTATGAATATATTTTTTCTATTTTCCTAAAAAATTTATTTTAGATAAGTATGAGATGATTTAAGGGTTAAAATCTGGAGAAGGAAAACACAAATTTCTTTTCTTCATCAAACCACAAGGCTATGTAATGAGGAGCGTCTCACAGAGGCCTAACCAGTGACTTTAGAACTAGTGGCCTATTACTTTTGAGAATGTGAATGGAGCTGGGGGAATTAGCTCTCATGTTGCCTGTACATAGAGTGAATATGCCATGGGCTCAAGAAGGAACATTTCACGGACAGTAGTATGTAGCAATCACAGAGAAATTGGGGCTTTCAAAGAACATTCTGTCTGTCCTAACGTTACCTCAAACCTTCTTCAAAGCATTCATTTGGGAAAGGTGGCAGTGTTGAGAACAAAATATCCGCAGAGAACCATAGATGTGACAGCGTAACTTTTCTTACACTCTGGAATAAAAGCCCACATCCTAGCTAGAGAGCATAGTCTGAGCCCATGTTTCTACGTCTAGTTCTCTGCTGCATGCAAAAGCCTTACAACTGACTGGGTCACAGAACCAACTCTGCAGATGCAGCCACAGATGCCGAAACCCTTGACTTTGAGAGCATCAATAAGTGTCAATTATGCTACATTAGTTAATCTGCTCTTCACCTGGCACTAGGAATGAGTAAGACCTTCCAAGACAAGACTAAATAAAAATGGGGCTTCTGGAAATGACTTTATATAATACTGATTTCAGCTTCATTGCAATTAATGTGCTTATAGGAATATTTACTGTACATCAAATCTATTGGCTCCATACTTTTTGTCACAGCTTAGCCAATGTATGTGTTGACATGGTTAATCTATCTGTTTGCTAAGAGCTGCCCCAGAAGTTTGTATAGCATTTACAGTGGCAAGACCTGCCTTGCCATGTCAGCTGCTGGCTAAGGAAAACGAGGAGCAAAGTAAAAGCTTGTCTCAGATGGACTTCCTGTCTGGGGACAGGGAAGAGATTCCAGACACCTCAGGAGGTGATGGGTCACTGAATACACTGCTGGTCACCTATATTTCCAACATGACTTGTCTATTGGTGGGTATAGACTTTATGCTGATTGTGTGAAGATATGTATATCCAAGGCTGGCAGAAGCAAATGTTAGTAGTTGAAGAAAAAAAATTGCACTAGCCTCAATAAGCAGGAACCTTGCTCCAATAGCCAGAGCTACCACAGACTAGAAAGCAAAGACTGGCTCCTTTTGAGCTATTTCTCTAAATCACTATCAATGTACATACACACAGCTCTTCTAGGCAAAGGAAGCTACTTCTGGGCACCATTCCTGCATGAGGTATTTGTGTTCTGTAAAGTCACTTCGGCCGTGCCGTACAGTGTTAATTCTACCGTGCTGTAACAGGGAGAACGTAAGAGGGCTTTCAGAGCACAGTATCAAGGGTGCTTTCGTGGGTGTGACAGTTCTTGGCTAGGAAGGCATGCCCCCAGAATACTCATAACATTGTCTGAGAGTTTGGGTAACAAACATGAAGCATTAGGGCCGTACCGAGCTCCAAGGGCCAGTACTCCATGCAGCGTCTTGTGGGCAAGCTTGTGTGTTGCACTGCTCGCGGTCCGGAGGCTTGTCAAGAACTTCACAGCTCAAATCTGGGAATCGGTCCCCGTTGGCCCGCTGACAGACCACCAGTCTCGTCCGCATGCCTCCGCCACACAGCTTGGTACACTGGAAGAGGGACAAAGGACGCTCCAGTGACTTTGTGTGAACAGCACATGGCAAAGTCTATTTCCCCACAGGAAACTTTTCTTGGCTACGCTTTATTACGGCATTGGGCAGCCTAAGTCTGACAGACAGAGACAAGGCAAATTGCCAACAGTGATACAGCCAATGGACCGTGGTTCCTGTGAATTTGAAGTATCCCTCAGTGAGGGCTTCCTTTATATTTGTAATAAGAATTTTTTTTTTTTTAAATAGAGCTTACCTCATCAGGTTGAGAACACAGTTACTTGCCCCATATATAAAGTGAAGGTTGGGAAGTTAATCACTCTTGATCCATTAACCAGTAGCTAAGACAAAATTCTTTGAGGCATAAAAAAACCAATAAATAAAAAAATAACCAGAAACTACTCAACCTTGAATAAAAGAGATAATGACTTGGCCTGTTTTATTTTATTTTTTGGTAGTTGGTAATTTCTTTCTTTGGTTTTTGTTTGTTTTTGTTTTGAGACAAAGTTCACTGTGCAGTCTAGGCTAGTCTGGAAGTCACTGTAATCCAGACTGACCTCCTATCTCAGCCTCCTGGATGCTGGGATTATTGAAATGAGCAGCCAAGCCCAACTTCAAGTTTTATTTTTAAATGTTGCTAAGGATTTAATCTAAGGACTGAATTTTACGTAAACCCACACATTCTGGCAACTTCTGTGAAGCTGTCATGGACAGCCCTTTGCTGATTCTCTTATTCCAATTATGATGCTCAACTGTTTAATTCTACCTTCAAACCTCAGGACAAGTACAACTGGCCTCTAGGAAGAATATACAGCATGATGGGAATGAATGCTAGCTGAAGTTCTGGCTCTTGGCAGGATTCACATTTGTGAGACAGGAACAAATTGTATTTCTTGGACAGTGCTGCCGCACTCATATCCAGGAACACAGACATTGAGTTTCCCTGCTGCGTCAAGGCCGGCTCTCCCACAACCCTTGGACGGGTCAGTTTGTGATAACTGAAAGCATCCCAGCAAAGGCGTGGACTCACCTGGCTTGGATCCAACTACAGAAGCCTAATTATGGATCCCACAGGACAAAACTCCAGAGTGTTGGGAAGACTCACATCACAGGAGTCTCAAAGCCTCTCTTCCCCTCCTTCCTCAGTATCACTGCCCAGAATGACATCAGTGAAAGTCAACAAAACTTCCCGGATCAACTGCCTGTGACTTCTAGGTTATGAGTATGAAATGATGAGACACAAGAATGTGGACTAATGAGCCCATCATCTCCTGTGTCTTTTTTTCTCCCTCTTTGTGCTGTGGTCTCCCAGGTATTAATTTTCAGGCTTTATGTGGCAAACAGTCAAGACAGAACAAATAATGAGCCTTAAGTATGTGCTTCTCTTACACATTCAATCAGAGAGAGCAATTTTGAGTAACATAAATATGCATATAAGTCCTGCTATAAAGTATAAGAGCTCAAAATGCATATCATGCTTACTATTAATAAAGTAAGTTATTATTGCATAATCCAGCATCATTTGATTGATTAAGTTTACATGTTAGTCATTTAATGGATGCTGTCTCATATAATAGCTATAAATATTATGCAGGTGGTACTACTACGATTCCAGTTTATGGATAATGATAGGAAAATTGGGCTAAATTACGTTACTTGTTAATATCACTAAAATGATAAAGGTCATACCTAGGTCCAGCCAGATCCTGCACATCCTGAAGCAGGGTCTAGCTGGGTGAGACTGCCTGATCCTTCCCTCCATGAACCTTCCTTAACTCCCCAGATGTAACCCAAGTTACACATTCAGTACCCTGGAATAGTTACACCCCAGCTTTCATGGCCTTCAACCTGCAGGCATACATAGGAAGAGATCTTGGACACGCTCCCATTCACAATACCCTCCAGGAAAATAAAATATCTAGGGATAAACTTAATCAGGGGTAAAGGACCTCTACAATAAAAGCTTTCAGTCTCTGAAGGAAAAGATAAAGACACTAGGAAATGGAAAGACATACCATTAACATGTTCATGGATTGACAGAATTGGAATTGTGAAAATGACCATTCTGTCAAAGTTATTTACAGATTCTATGCAATCCCAATTAAAATCATCATCTCATTCTTCATAGAAATTTTAAAAAATCGGGTTACCAAAATTAGACACTGGGTAGCAAAAATAATTCTGAGCAAAAAGAACAATGCTGGAGAGACTACCATTCTAGACCTCAAGTTATATTATAGAACCATAGTAATCAAAACAATATGACACTTGCCTTAAGTGTTCTTATTGCTGTGATAAATCACCATGACCAAAGCAACAAGGGTTTATTTCATCTTACACTTCGAGGCAAAAGCCCATCACTGATGGAAGTCAGGACAGTAACTCATGCAGGACAGGAACCTGGAGGCAGGGACTGATGCAGAAGCCATGGCTTGCTCTCTGTGTCTTACTTAACTTGCTTTCTTAAATAGCCCAGGACCATCTGCCCAGGAATGGTTCTACTTTCAATGGTCTGGGCCCTCCAACATCAATTACTAATTAAGAAAATGCCCCCACATGCTTGCCTACAGAACAGTCTTTTTAAGGCATGTTCTCAATTCCCTTTTCTCCGATAACTCTAGCTTGGGTCAAATTTACAAGAAAAAAAAACAAAACATGGGGACAGAGGTATTTACTGATGCAAAAACAGACATATGGACCAATGAAACAAAACTGAATACTTAAATATGAGTACACTAACTACAGCCATCTAATATATAATATTTGACAAAGATTCCAAATATATAGATACTAGAGAAAAGAAAGCATCTTCAACAAATGACGCTGGAGAAACTGGATGTCCATATGAAAAAAAGTGAAATTAGACCCATATCTATCATCTTGCACAAAAACTAACTCCAAATGGATCCAAGATCTATTTGTGAAATCTGGAGTGTAGAAGTGACCAGAAGTAACAGAAGCAATAGGCAATAGGCACAGGATACAGGTATATGGAAGGGCTTTCTGAATAGGACCTGATTTGCCCAGAAATTGAGGCCAACAACTGGCAGGTGAGAACTCATAAAACTAAACAGCTCTGTACAGCTAAGGAAACAACAGGCCAAGCGAAGAGGAGTCCCACAGAGTGGAAAGAATCGTTGCCAACTATACATCTATAGTACACAAAGAACTTAAACTACAAAAAAAAAAAAAGGTTGAAATGGCCCACTTTAAAAAAAATTGGTGCTGGGCGGTGGTGGTGCACGCCTT